AAAAAAAAAAAGTCCCATTCTAATAATTTTTTATTTAATAAAAAAAAAAAAAAAAGTTTTTTATTATTTTTTTTGAGAATGAATGATTTCCAAATACCTCTGTCCTGCATTGGATAGCCCCCATCCCCCCCCCCTCTCCAAAATGGGATCAGGTGAACCAAACCAGTTACTGCTGCCTCTGATGTACATAGAAACAGATGGCCTACTGTTAATTCTGATTTCCGATGTACAAAGAAACACTTGGCCTACAGTTTTTATCTACCCGATTCTCTAAAAATATATGTAGAAACAGTTGACCTACTGTTTATCTACAATATTCTCTAAAATATAGAAACAGTTGACCTACTGTTTATCTAAAAGATTCTCTAAAATATATAAAAACAGTGGACCTACTGTTTGTCTACCAGATTCTCTAAAATACATAGAAACAGTTGACCTAATGTTTATCTACCAGATTTTCTAATATACATAGAACAAAAAAAAACAACTGTTTATCCTTTTATGTGTTTTCAGTTTGAGCAAATTAAACAGAACCAAAAAAAAAAAAATGATATATATACAATGGTAGGCAATAACACAAGGTATGATAACATCTTCAAGATATATAAATACAAATATATTTAACAATGAATTCAGGATAAATAACAATGGCAGGCCTCTTGGTGATATTAATTTTCCTTATTAGAGACATACCGGTACATGCTTCAAAAGAAAAAAAAAATTGACGCAAAAGGTTCTTCATCTTAGATGCGTCAGAGCAATTTTGGCACATTTTCCCACGATCGTTTAGAGTGACTGGTGTCTGAACTTTGAACAAACATAATTTATTTGGGACACTTGTTGACAAGTAGTACAGCCTATGATCAGTACTGCAGTGACGCAATTTTGTAAAAAGTTTTTTTTTTTTTTTTTTTTTTTTTTTTGTGTCTTGGCGAGGACATCCACAAATGTCGTATGTGCATCTAGAGCAGGACAGGGAGTGGTGCGAGTCACATATTTGGGACTATGTGTGTGTGTGAGCATCGTTTTGCGTAAGGGGAGAATTGGGGTGAGGGGGGGAGGGGGAGTAAAATTTTTTCAAAAATACAAAGAAACCATTTATGGACGCCAGACACTGAAAGTAGTCAGGCATGTATGGGATTTAATGACATTGAATAATTCAACAAACACAGGGAGGTATTATGGCCCTTGGATGCCTGTTTGAGTTAAAGTCTATTATGATAAGAGCTATAAATCAGTTGGGCTTACTGTATCTCAAACCAATTAAAAACTTTCATTATTTTAGTGACTGATCTTTTCACAACAGTATTGAGATATATTATACATTAATTTTAATAGGTTCAAAATTTTAAAACTACATCTTTTAAAGAAAATGATGAAAGAATATTAACAGGCCTACCTTGAAACAAAAAGAAAAGAAAAACACAATTAAAAATTAAATTATCAAAGAAAATCTGCTAAAAAAACATTTGATATATTTTAGATTCTGTCAGAGAGAAAAACAATCAGCGTTTGATTTTTATTGACTTGGAACACTTAAATAATTGTAAAGCTGTATGTAAATGTTGGGCATACAAGTTGATTCTTTACACCATATGTAAACTGAAGAAGTGAGTAGAAGACTATTACAATCAGTTCCATTTGTAAACCGAAGAAGTGAGTAGAAGACTATTAAAATCAGTTCAAGTTAATGGTGCACTCTTTTCATAAACTGAATTTTTTGTTTGATTTCAAAAGACATAAATGTTAATTTTAGTCGAGTACTTTATGACACAAATTTATAAAATCTAACTCTGTTGAACTATTTGAGTAAATATTAATATTGATATCAATTTATAAATAATACTTAATTGTTTAAAGCAATATTTTTAAAATGCAACGTTCAATATAATGTACATTACACGTTTTATTTTTAAAAGTTTTGAGATACTACAACATTTTTAGAACCAAATGAATACATTTTCTATTTTTTTTAAAAATTAATGATCAATTAAAGCTAAAATTATGTAAATTGTAGATCAGTAAACAATTGGGTCAAAGGGGGGAAAGAATTATAATGTAATCATTTTGAGCAACATTTCGGACTTTTTTCTATGGTGCTTCTAATCTAGAAACAAAACCCCCAAAACCCATGTTAATTTTATAATCTTTTATAATTTTTCACCTTTTCTAGTTTGAAAAAAAGAAAATAGAAAATCATTAATACTGTTTTAGAGGTCATACTGTTGTGGCAAAGGGAGGAGAGGGGGGGGGGGGGGGGGTATAATCCTTTTAATTTTCAAAGTGTTTGGTAGTCTCCCCTTTCCATTTAGGAATAAACGCAGAAAATAACAATGTTTACCAGAGTAGCCTCACTTTGGAAGGCTTTGATAGATAGACACAAATCTTTATCTAATTCTAGTCATTTTTTTTTAGAGAGTTAACTATTTGCAATGAAAATGACATGCCCTTCTCATTAGCAATCTATTTTGATTTTATAAGCATGGCAATTCTATGATAATAGTTGAAAAGGTTCTAAAAAATCTGCTGTCCTTAAAAATGAATTCAACTCAATTTTTTGACAGTATTTCTAAAACGTTGCCCTTTCAGATTGAAAGTAATTTTTTCTTAATGAACCACACTTACTGATTGAACATTGGAAAAAACAATTAATGGCTGTGATGTTGCGAAAAAAAAAAAAAAATTAACAACAAAGTTTACTCCAGGAGTAAATCAGTGAAAATCATAGCTAGGGCTCTTGTCATCATATTTTTCACTTTTTCTTTAAAAAAAAAACAACTGTTTGGAGTAGCCAGGTAGCATTGGTTTAAACATTTATTTGGGAAAACACTTTTGCTACCCACTTTTTAAGGCAAATATTCTATGGCAGTCAGTTTATTAAGTCAAAATGACGTGTGTACGTGTGAAGGAAACAGTTTAGCATATAACATCCATAGAGAACCTGATACTGATCATCTGAAAGGGT